TTCTTCTGTGGAGCAGCTGGTGGGTTTAGAACTGCTGACCTTCTGGTTAGCAGCCAAAGAAGCAAGACATGGGATTAGAGCTAGTCTCTCTGACTCTCAAATCTGTGTCCCCACTCTGAGTGACACAATCTGCCTTTGAGTGTGAAATAAAGGATGAATTAGGTGGGCAAAATTGTGTCTTTGACCTATGTCAGCCTCACAGATTAATACCCTAATTAATCTGAATTTTTGAAAACAAGCTATTTCAGCCTATAGTACTTGTCTAGGGTAAAGTGTTCCCCCTTATATAGGCAAATGCTCCTCCCTGCCACCCTCCTTTGTCTGGCCTTCCTAAGAGATTAGATGTTGTTTCTATCTCAGCATTTCTCCAAATATCTGTTCAGATAGAAGTTGTGTTGTTAGAATTGATCTCAGATTTGATTGCTTAAATCAGATTCTCATGCCCCTTATCCTGGTGCATAACTACCTCTCCCAATCAACTCTGATCAATCCATTGCTTTTCTGTAACTTGGCCTGGTCTCAAGACAGGGCACTAGATATGCAAACAATATGACAAAGCATTTGGTTTTATCTAGGGTAATAACAATTGTAACAATAACAGCTACAACTGGTCTCATAAATTCTATGTAGTCTTTCAACAACCCTCACTCACTGCCATCTAGTCATTTCTGATTCATAGTGACCCCCATTGGGTTTCTGAGGCTGTAAATCTTTACAGAAGTAGATCACCCGGTCTTCCTTCCATGGAGCAGCTGGTGGGTTTGAACCTCTGACCTTCCCATTAGCAGTCAAGTGCCTTATTCCCTACACCACCAGAACTCTGTTGTTGTTAGGTGCCGTCGAGTCGTTTTCGACTCATAGCGACCCTATGCACAGCAGAACGAAACACTGCCCGATCCTGTGCCAGAACTCTAGAAGGGGCATAATCATTATTACCCACCTTCATCTCTTTCTCCTCATCAGTAAGATGGGAACTTAGACTAAGAGAGACCAAGTAGCTTGCTCAAAGATCCAATGGTTCCTAAGTTCAGAATCAGTATTTGAAGACTTTAGTCTTGTCTGAGGTAGGATTGTTTCAGTATGTCTTCAAAGCTCTTTTTCAGGCTGACCAGCATTCATATAG